ATGTCAGAAGTTTTCTCCATGTACTTTTTGTGCAGCCTGTAGCCCTGTATATTTTTTAAATGGAAAACAATTAAAAGAAATGTTTTCACACATTTAGAAAATTTCTATCCCCGAATCATATTCTCTCAATAAGATACCTTGTGAAAACTACAGTAGGCAGGGCAAAAATACCTTATAATTTTGTTACAACTTTATTGAATTTAGGCTTCTTGAAGTAGCAGCGTACTGAAAACTTTTTTTCTTCTTTGCTTAATTATTCATTTCTATGTAATAGAAGCACTAACAATATTATGTAAATTGCAACGTCTTCAACCATTTTGTATTTGGAGGTTAGGCTTGTTTGTCACCATTTTATTTAACTGTCTGGTACATATTAACATCTCTATTTATGACCATTTCTATACTTACTTGAAGGAAGATTTATGGGAGATTTTTTTTTTCCAATACTCAGATATCACTTCCTCTATTAGAAATCAGATTGAACTTGTAAGTGTCCGTCAGCATTGTGCTGAAAAGAATATACACTGCTCGAAAAAATAAAGGGAACACTCAAATAACACATCCTAGATCTGAATGAATGAAATATTCTCATTGAATACTTTGTTCTGTACAAAGTTGAATGTGCTGACAACAAAATCACACAAAAATCATCAATGGAAATCAAATTTATTAACCAATGGAGGCCTGGATTTGGAGCCACACACAAAATTAAAATGAAATGTTCCCTTTATTTTTTTGAGCAATATATTATTCAATGAAAGGCAATATAACGGTTTTCCTCTCCACTGTCACTACATTCTTGCTCAGAATGAGGGATTGCTGTAAAGTCTAGTTCAATGCAGTCTGATGGGTTCTTTTTGAATTACTGCACTTGACTTTATTATTTGATTACTAAGATCAATTGGAATAAATTTAGGATTGGATTGAAATGACTCTTTTTGTAAAATTGTTGAAATACAAAACTGAACTGAATTGAGCAACTTTTTAACAAACACAAATCAGTTCATGAGATTTGTTCTGAAAATGTAGCTGTCAGTTCAGGGGTTACAGGTATTTTAAAAATAATTGAAAAGGTTCCTGTTTTTTCCTCTCTCTCTCTTTTGATGTCATTCGATGAATTGGAACGTCTTAAAAACTTTTTATATTATCTTACTAAAATAATCTTGTTGACCTAAAGCACAAATCCTTAAAGAGAAAATTATTTTGGGAATTTGCCTGTTGAATGTCATTTACTTTGCTTGAGACAAAAACAAACCAGCTGCATTACTTACAACAGAAATTATGTAAATGTCATTATTATGTTTTCTTATTCCCTATCCAGTTCAGTTTTTAAAACCAGAAACAATCGTATGTACTCACCCTAGCAGCTGGCGTCCGACCAACGCAGTGGTTCTGAACGATGCTGCTCATGGTGTCGACCGGTGATGGTGGGCAGTAAAGTGTTTCTCTCTTAGCCTGACGCCAAGAGGAGCAGCTAGCTTCTGAACTGCACCAAAATCATTTTGAGAGGAAGTTTATAGAGCTTTCTATTCCTTCCTTCTTGGTCACATGGCAACAAGAAAGCCCCATGAGCAACTTTGTCTGCATGGCAGAGCAAAACATAATATTCCATATGAATTATATATTAGCACTAAAACTGGCATCTGCACTAAAAGCCTGTCTGTCTGACAACCAAAAGCATGTTCAGATGTAGCATAATGCTTTTGATGTTTTAGAAATTTCTGTATTTATTAAAAGAAACCCTGTTTGTAGACACAGTTTCAGTCCTTATGTTAGTTCTGTTAATGTTCTGGGGATGGAAATGAGGCTTCATCCCAAGAGTTGGAATGAAGGTTACAATCCTTATTATATAACCACCGTTATATAACATGAACATTGTTAGATAAGTCAAAACATTCCCGTTGGTGTGGTACACTCTACTTTATTATTGATAAAAACTGTAGTCTGGATATTTTTAGCTTGTAGAATTGGCTTAGTGTTAAAATGTAACTTCTGGTAATAGGTGTATTAATCCAGCTTAGTGTGGAAGTTAATATATTTACTCTACGTTCAATTCGTAAAAAAAATTACAACACATAAATATATGTATAAAACATAAGCCCTACCAAAACGAAGAAGGTCACAAGTGCTGCTCCTGAATGTTATGAAGGAAGAAAAACATGATTTTTCAAATTGAAAAACTAAATTTGAACTAAGTGGCCATAAAGGTCAGGGTTTTTTGTTGTTGTTGTTGTTGTTGTTGTTGTTTTGTTTGTTTGTTTTTCAACCAAGCAATTGTTGTAATAATTGCTTGGTGATGAAAATGATGATTTTTCAAGTCAGGGTTTTGCCAAAATTCAAAGACGGTTAAAAGAAAAAAAAAAGTTTTTGTATTGTTACTATGTGGGCCACCTGATGTCAGAGGGGATAAAGCAGTTTTTTCCCCCAATACTTTGTTATAACTCTTTTATAGTCGGACTATTTATTTTGTAAAATTATTATATTTAGCTAAACATTATTGTTGAGGAGCACAAACAAGCTTCCTGACACACAGATTAATAATAAAAGTAATTTTAAAAAACTCAAAAAGGGGCATTAGGGGCACCATTGGTAAAAGGGGCAGGGGCTCAAGCCCCCTCTGCTCCCCCCCTCTGCAAGTGCCTGCATGTTACAACCACAAAGTATATTATGATTTGGTGTAGAACACCAAGACAAAGTTTTTGACCCACATGCAAAAAAAAACTACATTACCTTGAATACACTAATCCAAATAATGAAACATAGAGGTGGCAACCTCATGCTGTGGGAATGTTTTTTATAATAAACCAAACACAAGGGAAGGACAATGACTGAATCCTAATCCTGAAAAGAATACAAAAGTAGAAAAATACACGATATCGAAAACCAAAGCGTGTGACACAACTCAGAGTAATTCTTTAGAAAAAATTATTTAAGAAAAAAAAACTTGCATTCTTTTCTAGGGAGACTGGAATCAGCCTTACAGAAACGGTGAGGAGCTGCAGTCATCCATAGAGTAAACTTTGAGTAAAACTGTTGCAGCTCTGCATTGAAAGGAGCCAGTAGAAAAGGTAAAGGCATCCGATCAGGTGGCGCCCTGAGGTTTTCAGGCACATTTTACAAAGGGCCGTAATTCATTTCAGACTTTTCATCGTAACAGGTTAACAATTTGAAGCTCCTTAATCTGACAGTGAACATTCAGTGTGAGACTAAAAAGTCAAAGATCTTGCTTTGCCCATTCTTGTTTGTATTACCGTCCCTCAGTAGGCTGCCGTGATTCATACGTTTTTGCCAATATACAGTAATTATTCATGACAAGTAACACCTACTATGTGTGGGTGGGAGAAAAGCAAGTCATGTTGACATGTCTCAGCAGGCAAAGCAGCAGATTTTATCTCACAGGAGATCGTATGATTTGAGGCGTTTCGTTTAGTTTTATCTTTTCTGATATCATCTTAGATATGCAGCTGCCTTTAACAGTAAGAGTTCCGTTTAAAAAAGGATCTGATAACACAAGATTCCATTCATAAAGTCGATGTTAAAATCCGACAGGAACTTGAGTGATTTTCCTTTCAAATGAAAGTTTTGTTTAATTTTGGAGAGGGAAATTTTATTTTTGTTGTATAATTTTTTTTAAATCCTATTTTGATATTAGTCCGGTGGAAATGAAAATGTATGTAAACAAATAAAATAAAAGTATTACTTTGTAAATGTTTAAAGTGCCAGTTTTTACAGGAGATTTGGTTTACTCCTATTTCCAGAGGGCTGTGTTTCACAAAATTACGATTCATTAATTTAGGATGAATGAATGTAGCTGTTCGAAGCCATTTATCTTAGATAGATAAGTAGGTGAATAATTTCCTCTGCTTTTCTTGTTGCTTTTTGTCTGGTAACAAACTGTTCCTTTGATTCAGTGTGTTGAATCAGCTGATAATTTATAAGTAGACATTTTGAAAAAGACAATGATGTGCACAGATAGATCTTCATAGATTGAAGGCAGCTTATAATGATGCATTAAGACTTTTGTTTAAAAAGCCCAGATGGACCAGCGCCAGTGAACTGTTTGTATCTGCTCTCATCAGCACTTTCATGGCTTTTTAAAGAATGCTTATGCATAAATCTATTTTAAGTTATTTTAAACAAATAAAGTGACAAAAAGACAGAATTCCTCTGGCTCTTGTTGGCTCTGGAGCCGGCTAACTGCACAGACTGCAGACTGAGTTTTTGATTCCTTGTGGTCTGAGGCTGTGAATCTCAGTGCAAAGTCTGAACTAAATAAGTTAATTATCATCCAAGTTGAAATGATGATTTGTAAAGTATGGGGTTTCTGACCATCCTCAAACTGAAAATCCAAAATGGCTGTCCAGTTTGGCTTGTCCATCCGCCTGATGACTGCAGAGTCATCTGTACATCAGGAGCCATCGGGAGTGACTTACGCTTGAAGACCTGGGTGTAAAGAGTGAAAGGAAATAGTGAGAGTACAGTCCCCTGTACTAATGAACTGCAGTACATTAGCACCCTTTGGTGCTAATGTACTGCTGATCTGATCAGACACTCAATCATTCAGTTTCACAAACTGCGGTTTGTTTGTTAAATAGTCGTAGATGCAGCCGATTGCTGAGACGTCCGCCTGAGTTTTCTGGACTTTCTGACAAGTAAGAATGGATTGAGTTCATGTAGCCAGCAGGAAAACTGAATCTGAACTTGGGGTCAACTTAAATTGTTGACCCCCCCCCCCCCAAAAAAAAAAAAATTTTTTTATTCTTCCAAATTGGAAACATCAACTTCACAATGATTTTGGCTAACAAAGTCCAAATTTTATTTTGAAAGACCAAAAAACTTCAGTTAAATTCCTAAAGTGGATGTTAAGAGAGACGGCTAGTCATCAGATAATTTTGGCATCTGGATGATATTCTGGAAAACAAAACTGGTCCGTTTTTACATCTACAGTAACAATTTGGCTATTTTATTTTGAAACTCCACAACCGGAACAAGGTAATGACATCTCTAACTTGTTGGTGTTTTCGCTTTCCTCCCCTGAGCGAGTGACAGGCGAAACAGGAGGCGGAGGAGGCAGGGAGCAGAAGTTTTCCTTAGCTTCGCCTGTTCTTTCTCATCATGGAGGCTCGGGGACATTTCTACCGTGAGGAAATCAACAGCACGGCGTGGGAAGTCCCGGAGAAATACACGCGGCTGAAGCAGATAGGAACTGGGGCGTACGGTACAGTGTGGTGAGTGGCTTGTGGAGGTGTGTGTGTGTGTGTGTGTGTGTGTGTAGCTGTTGAATCGGTGTATACACGATGTTCAGTTTCTGACGATGCCTACAGCAGCTGCAAGCGGCGTGTGGTGGGCCTGGGGTGATATCCTGTACAACACTAATGTCTGTCTACCCTGACGACACAGCCAAAACACTTACGTAGGCAGGATAGAAGCTTCTACCACTTCCTATCAAAAAGAAGAAGAAAAAATAACTTTCTGACATAGACACCTGCCTTTCAGGTCAAAATGTGTTTGAACGCACAGTGGTGAAGGACGTACGGATAATGTATGGATTAAAGATGGCCTGAATTAATGTGCGGGTGTCTTATTTTGTTTTATGTTACTTCATTATAAAACCATTAAGTCATGCAGATGAGAAAAGTATGCTGAGGCAAATATGGTGACTGTACTGGATTCATGGAGCATTCCTCATGCACTCTATTGATTTTTAATGCTAATGTACTCTATTGCTTTACATTTATATTCTAAAAGGTTTGAAAGCTTTGACAATATAATGGATTATATTGTAGACAGGCAGGAGTCACTATGACAACCACGAGCAAAGATATTGCTGTTTGTAATGTTTATTATGTCTGCAATGTAGCTTAAAACAAAATTCCAAAACATAATAGCTTTTTTTGCAAGAGAGCAACAATTATTCCTACGGTTAAAATGGCGCAACATACAAGATTCTCTGAATTCGGTGCCTTTTTGGGTCTATGGTTACTTAAAAATATACCACAAAAATTGTGTTTTTGAACACTGCATCTATTGAAGGACTCTTTGAACCTCCAAGAAAATGTGTCTGCCCACCTTATGCATGAAATCCCAAACATTTATACAATTTTTTTTACTGCTTAGGTTGCTTTAAATTCAACCCCATAACGGGACAATTTCATCCCTCTATCAGTATAACTGTACAACATTATTCAACTAATTCTTCCAGTTCCTTTGAGATCATCGGTTCCTTGATTAAAATAACTAATTGTATATTTTATTTGATTCTGAATCATAATACTTAGACTGATAACTAGAGTATGGCAAGTTGATGTAAAAGCACTTCTCATAATTCATGAAAATACACTTAAACATAAAAATTAAATCAGAGATGAAAACATAAAACAACAAACATTAGATTTACTCAGTTGTCATTGTTAAAATAATCATCATAAGATATTGGAATAAAGACTAAAATGAAACCACATTCCACTTATGATTAATCAGTAGTTTATCTAAATTAGATCCACTTTGAAAAACATGTTGACTTTCTTTCAGAAAAAAAAAAACACAATGTGTTTGACATCATTTCTTTTTCCAATTGGCTTCTTGAAAAAACACATATAGTGCAGTTCTAGTCAGCTGTGTGTCAAATTTCAGCCAAATAGTTTATATTTAAGTTGTGATCCTTCACCTGCTGTGAAAATCAATGAGCTTTACAAGTGAAAAAACAATGCATCAGGCTGCTAAACAGAACAAAGTGGAAGTTAAAAAGGGCTGAATTTTAATACAAACGTCATGAGCTCTCCCACCTTTACCTCTAATTTCCCCAAGCAGTACATCTTGTCTAAACTCTCATTATGGAAACAGTAAAGCAAAGAGATCGTAGAGATGGTACCCTTCATTAAATGAGCAGTATGAGGTACTGTACTTCCTGCAGACCTACGGTGACATGCATAAGCTGCTGCACACGTACTGTAAGCGACTGTAAAATCCTGTACCGGTGCGTCACGCCTGAAAACAGCACTAAGCATGAGCGATTTGTGTGGTGTGTGTTAGTGCATGCGGCTCCAAATAATCTAACAAGCCTCTCCTCCCACATATTGGTGCCCTGCAGATCACTGCAAGCGTGCACATCAAAAGTTGCCAAACATTTCCTCGCTGAGCCTCACTGAAAAAAAAAAAAAGAAAAAAAGAAAAACAGCAGACCACCAGTCATTCTTTGTGCCTAGATGCTAATCCTGTCGAAGGGCAAAACCTCAAGGCTACTCATCCTTTCATTCCCCCCCTGCTCTGGCTTCTCCCCTCCGTAGTGAAACCCGCGCAGGCTTAGCACCGAGCTAATGACGTGTTGTTGCTGATGTACTTCATCTTCTTCCTCCCACAGCTCGGCAATAAACGACAAGAGTAAAGAGAAAGTGGCCATCAAGAAGCTCCACAGGCCCTTTCAGTCGGAGATCTTTGCTAAGAGGGCGTACAGGGAGCTCCGGCTGCTCAAACACATGAAACATGTGAATGTGAGGAGATGATATTACAACACACTACAGATGTGTGTGTGTGTGTGTGTGTGTGTGTGTGTGTGTGTGTGTGTGTGTGTGTGTGTGTGTGTGTGTGTGTGTGTGTGTGTGTGTGGTTTCTCAAAATGAAAGTCTTCCAGTAAATAAATCACTTGCTTCATCCAGCTCTCATTCCATGCAGGTAATAGGACTCCAGGATGTGTTTACACCTGCCTGCAGCTTGGACAATTTCCAGGACTTGTGAGTACTTTTTACCGCTCTGACATCGACTTACAACATATGAGGAGCTCAGAGCACCTGAGGCCCTGGGAACAGGCAGCAGTTGTCGGTTATGAGAAGCAGGCAGCAGCTTTTGTCTTTGTCCCAGAAATTATTGCGATAAACTGCAGTATTGTTGTTTGGAGAGCATTTTCAAGTAATAAAATGGTAATGTGATAATAATGCAAGAACGCATTCTCAAAGATTAATAAACTTTAAAGTTTAAAATGAACGTTTAACACTGGAACTGGAAGATGTCTTAAATATCCAAAATGCATAAACAAAACAACAGAAACAACAAATAAAATTAATTTTGAAATCTCTGTAAACAAAATTATCCTTCAAAAAAAAAAAAAAAAAGGGCTAGTTGAGCCCAAAACGCCAGACTGAAGACTTTTATCACCCAGTTTTTGGTAAAAAGAGAGAAAAGAAAAAAAAAACGATAAATCATGCAAATGGAAATTACTGAGCTTGCTTACATTTATTATGCGATTAATTTACTTATTGTTTGCTGTGACAGGCCTAGGCAGGACTGTTCCAAATTACTTTGACTGACTTGCTGCAACATATTTCTGTAGTAGTTGAGGCATCTGGAGTAGCTTGTAAAACATACTTTGGGTCTCGCTTTCCAGGGAAGGCATGCTCATGTGGACGAAAGTGTGTTCTTAAAATGATCCTTTCATCGTAAATTTAACTATCGCTAAAATAATTCCCTTAGAGGCACACAATGGAGGAACGAGACGAATCAAAAAGGATTAATTTCAACTTCTGCATTTTGATTCAGCACCAAATACTCTGATGCAACTGAAAATAGCCTAGTGCAACCAAAAATATACAGACATCAACTAAATAATAAAGCTTTTTGTAAAGTTTAGATTTATGGCCTAGTCTGAACTGAACGGGCCAGGATTATTTGCCTGACGGTTGGGTCAGGTTTGGACTCCTGTAGCGAGTTTCTTAAGCCTACAATACATTCAGCACAGAGAAAACCAAACGAGGATACGCAACATGAAGTTGTGATAATCTACTTATTACAGTGTAAATAGAGGAGTAGATTGTTTAATCTGTTGAGAAAATACTGTCTCGTACAGTTCCACTCTACGGACGGTTTGACCTTGACTCACCTCATGGTTACAACAAGCGACAAGATGGAGCTGGAAGACGCCTGTGGGCTCAGGCCCAGTTAGGTTGGATTTTTTAAGCTCGATCTAAACCAGGGGTGTCAAACTCCAGTCCTCAAGGGCCGCTGTCCTGCAGTGTTTAGATGTGCCACAGGTAAAAAAAACAGTGGAATGAAATGGCTTAATTACCTCCTCCCTGTGTAGATCGGTTCTCCTGAGCCTTGCTAATGACCTAATTATTCTTTTCAGGTGTGGTGCAGCAGAGGCACATCTAAAAGTTGCAGGACAGCGGCCCTTGAGGACTGGAGTTTGACACCCCTGATCTAAACTCTACTTGTGTGCAATTTGTTCCCAATATAAATCTTGCTGCTCTGAAGTCCTCAGCTGTTTGCTATGCTTCGTCTCCACTGAGCGGTACTGCGTGGGTCGGTGCGCTGTTTTATGGTATTAGGGAGAGCGTTTCCACTGCCAATTGTTCTCTCAGTAGCCAGACGGGGTTAAACCCAAACCCCCAATATGGCATACTGGTGCGATGTCAAACACATGACACATGAATACGCCTGGCTTGTCTCAAAAAGTGACATCTTTCTATCTCCCATCGCTGAACGGTGTTGTCTGATGGCCATACCTCCACCTTAACTGTACCGTTGTTCTATGGACCTACGACTGAAGGGGGTCCAGGAATGCTGCTGTTGTTTGTCCCTCTTTTACAATAGAAACAGACTAATTGGTGTAACACACTGACATGCACTGTACCATTCAGTAGAAATTAGGCATTTGAAAACCAAGGTGGTCCGTGGTAGCTTTGGAAGAACTGTAGAGATCCACAGCTCAGGTGGAAGTATCTGTCAAAGGCTGCTACAATAATATGACTAATAGCCAACTATTTGTTGTGTAATTCAAGAATATGACCTTCATGGAAAAGTGGCAGGACGGTCAGATAAGACAAAAACAGAACTTATTGTTAATGCAAGGCACTAACCATAAGACGGCAGAAAGTAAAGCAAAACTTGTTGCCACAGATGTTCTCTGTCCAGTTTTAGAGATCTTGAACATTTTTGCAAAAAAGAATTGGCAAACTCTTCAGATGTGTAAAAGCAATTATAATTGCACCAAAAGTTGTCTTTACAAAGCATTGACTCAGGGGAACTGAAAACAGACACACACCTTTACTGACCGGCTGTATTCACACTACAGTTTAATTATACAAAGGTAGACATTAATGACGAAGCCTTATAAGTGGGACTGAATAGAAAAGCATGCTGCACTTCTTTAAGGAGTTTTTCAGGCGTATCTTCCAATGGAGGTTGAGTCACATTTATTCAGACCCCCTCTAAGCTAAAGCATAGCGCTACAGCTTTAGCGCTATGCTAGCAGGGCATTCCCACCTTCCCACCTCTCTGTATCCTTCCCCTTTTATATCTGCACATCTTTTCCCCAGCTATCTGGTGATGCCTTACATGTACACTGACCTGTCAAAGGTGAGGGGTCAGCTCTCTGAAGACAAAGTCCAGTTCCTCGTTTACCAGATGCTCTGTGGACTGAGGGTGAGGGTTTTCCCAAAATGTTAAGGATGTGAATTTTATTTATTTAAAAAAAACAAAAAACATTAAGACAGCTTGAAGTTTAGATACACAAATAAAAAATGTAACTTTGGTTCTGCTTCTCCTTCTGCAGTACATTCACAAGGCAGGAATCATCCACAGGGTAAGCAATCGACACAACTTTCACTGAAAGAAAGAAATTTGAACTCTGCACATGTTGTTTTTTTTGTTTTTTTTTTTAAAGACTCCAGAGATTTGCTTCTGCCTACACTTTGCCGTTGTTTTATTTTAATAAATAATAAATAACAAGTCAGCAAAAAATCTGCCCCAACTGGTAAGATGAGTGAATCCCTCTGATGTTTGGCTGCATGTCTAGAGTTGTTAGGCCACACCCAGGGTCTGTACTGTCTGTATGTAGAGGAAGAGCAGGTTAGTCGTATGTTGTTCTTTACTGCTTCAGTCAGTTCATTATCTTCTCCATCTATAAGTGCCATCCAAAAGCACTGAAGGTCACCCAAAGTGCTCATGGCTCAGAGGGACGTTTAAGAAGGCATCAGGGAGAAACCACAAGACTGTCCCTAATGTAGGCCAATTAATAAGAGTCTATTAGTTAATTCATCTGTAGAAAACTGTCTGGGCTTCAAGAGGCAGAAGTAAAGTCATTAATTCTGCTTTTGAAGCCACTCAAACCTCATTTCGGGTGGATGTTTATGCCACATGTTGTTTATAAAATGTTTCCCAACCGAAAGACATCCTGCTGGCTTGTAGAGTGATTTCACAGTTGCAGAGATTGCCTTCAGATTTCCCGGTTTCATTATTGTCTGTATTTTAGAGAAGCGTGTTCTCATCTTTCGTCATATCTCGATTTCCACAACATGTTTTACATAAATTGAAAGCGTTTGTGGTTTTTTGTTGCTAACAGAATTATCTTTTAACATTTTCAACAAACCCAAAACCAGCATCCCCTAAAATTATTGACAGTCCTGGTAAAGTGTAAAGTTCTACTGTTGCCGTTTTTGTTATCTTGAACCAGTATTCCCATTTTCCTCTGATATCAACAAGACATATTTATCTATTCAGCCGCTGTTCACTGGATATTTTCCCTTTTCTGACCTTTCTATGCTAACATGAGTTACGATTGTTCATAAAAGTCCCTGCAGATCTGCAGTTTCTGAGCAGGGAGGATTTCCAGTAGCAGTCAGTGTTGCATCAAATCTAAAGAAGCCTCTGACTGAAGACATTAGAGTTGAGAATGTGGTCCTTTTCCAATATGATGGATGGAAGAGCCATCCTTGTTCTCTGCTCGTTGGTCCTGATCTGTCTGCATTGTGTGTTCATTTCAACTCCTCTGGGATTGTAGATCTATTGTTACTAGAGTGTTGGATGCCCATCAACTCGAGGTTGTAAAAAAAAAAAATAATAATAATCAAATTTGAATAGCTTGTTGCCATGTTTATGGATCATAAAAGATATCCAAAAGAAAAAAGTACAAGCAAGAATTGCTCCAGCTGCACGGCTTTCAAAATCAGAGGGAATAATTGTCCAAACATTCAAGTCTCAACCAAAAGAAATGATTAACAAAAACAACAAATCAGAACTAACGTAGCAGAGCTACTTCAACATGCCTTGAGCAGCACATGAAACTGAATACGAACTTGAAATGCAATAGAATTAGAAAATTGAAAGACAGGAACACACTGGACACGGTACTCATGCACAAGGTTCTTGCAGTGGGCCGAAATGAGCAGCTTGTGCAACATGAGAACAGCTGTGATCCTTCATCTCCTCCATCTCAATGTAGTTCTTTTTTCTGCGTTTGTGCACCTAACAGATCGTGTCTGGTTGGTGTCGTGGGGATTTGTTTGGTTTCTCTGTGTTTTAAGCGCAGAAACCGGTGCGACCCTGCTGTTCCTCTGCTAAGACCCAAAGCTGTTCAGGTGTTACCAACACCCGGTGACAGCTTACCACATGATGCCGCAGTATTAAAATGCTTGGTAGTATTTTGTGTTTTGGCTTGCAGTTGAATCACTCAACGAGGCTTGTGTTAAAGGAGAAAAACACTCGTTATATGACGCGTTGAAACAAACAGCTGAGCCACGTTGGCCCCACGGGAACTGAGATGTTAAAGCCCCTCTTGCTGAGCGAGGGAGTCCAATCACTGCAATTTCTTGTTAATTACTGTGTGACCCACTTAGCCGTCATTCATCTGATTTCATTTTGCAGGATCTTAAGCCTGGAAACCTGGCTGTTAATCAAGACTGCGAACTGAAGGTACAAGATTTATAATATGAATCTTTCAAAAGTATTCATTCAAGTCCTGAAGCACTTCAGATTTAGGATTTAATGTTACAGACCAACACAAAGCTGCACAGGTGGAAGGAGAGGGATATATTGATTTCAACATTTTTGCAAATAAGAATCTGTAAACTGGGTTGTGTTTGTATTCAGACCCTAATCTGATATTATTGTTTATAATTTATTGTGAAAAATTTCTTTCTGCCGCATTAATTTGGATTTATCCGTTATGATAGATTTCAGTTATTGATGTTAACTTGCATAAAACAGACCGGAGCATTATTTTTGCTAGTGTCTCCACTTTTTCTTCCAGGAGAGCATCAGTAAATATCAGTAAAATTGAAAATATGGTTAAATGGAGTCACTTTGTGAAGTTTAGTGATATAAATCACACCTTTGTAATCAAGTGGCGTCCTGAAGAAGCCTATTTCAGATGAGAATGTGTGCCAAGAACAATATTGTGTTTGTGACGCTATGAATGCTGTGCCATGCAGTTACTGTACTGCAAAACTATGCATTGCCTAAAAAAATCAAACAATAAATATTTTTTTAAATCATAATCTTTATATCGTTATCACAGTAGTTCCTCAAAATATTGTGATAAAATTCTACGTCCGTATTGGCCACCCTAACTCTGATACCCTGAAAGAAAATCTTGTGTATTTAACACAAGTATTTTTCTATCCTGTGTTTTTGTGCAAAAAGGCTCAAATTCAGAGAGATTGGACGGACGGCAACCTTGAAAATCAGTTTTAATTGTTGCCTGTTTCAACCCGTCTGGTGGTGGCCATATCATAACGTGAAGGATCCATCCCCTTCAGATCTCAAGCAGCCAACAGAGACAAAGTTGAACTTTTTATAATGTTATTTATTTTAAAAAGATGCATTTTTGAATGAGATGTTACAACAAGTGGAGCATAAGGCTTCAGAGTGAGCCATAGTGCCGAAAACAGTAAACAAAAGGAAACCATCTGAATATTAACCAAAACTTGCCTATCTGAAAGTAAATAAACCAAATGACAAAAACTTACCTCCCTAATTAAGAAAAACATGAGGAAACTAAGCAAACATAAGTAACAGCTCACTCCTACAAACTCCAAGAAGATTTAGAAAAAGCTTTTGACAGACAAACAGTGTGGCCGCTTGAGATGAGCTGAGGATGGATGGCAGGAAGTCCGCCGCAGCAGCTTTTATATCTGTCACCTCCGGCGTGCCGCCAATTGGACGTTACCGCCATCTTCTGGGAGCCAATCAGGGACGGGCGCCTGCTCACGCATCTTTGCTTAATTAAGTTTACGACCCCAGTCGTAGCACCCCCTTTCCCAGGAATTAAACACACGCCTAAGTGTTTCAGTCATACCTGTCAGGTTTTGGTCAATACTTTTGAGTGCACCAGTCTTGGCTGTGCCAAACTTTGAGCGCAGCCAAGACTGGTGCACTGCACAATAATGGTTTGGCGGACTCAAACGGAACCTGACAAGATGAAGATGTTATCAATGTTATCAGTGTTTTAGATCGATCCGCCCACCTTTATTGTTTACCTCCCATTTCACAAATACACAGGTGTGAGATTTTCACCAGGCAAGATATTTAGAAGCAGGTTGAGCTGGTTGTGTTCAGACATCTTGTGCTCCTGCTGCAGATTGTTATCAGTTTCTTTGGTGTCCGGTACAGATCCTGGACTTTGGGCTGGCTCGCAGTACCGATGCAGAGATGACGGGCTACGTGGTGACCCGTTGGTACCGGGCGCCTGAGGTCATTCTGAACTGGATGCACTACACCCAGACTGGCAAGACATCTGTAGCTGTTACATATTATTAATGTACTCCTGTTCTCGCCTTACCGTTGTGTAACTCTGAGCCTTTGCTCGTCACGTGCAAACTTCCTGTTTGACATGAAGCTTGTGTTTTTGCTTTGTCTTTGCTTTCCAGGGTCAAGTTCCTAATATGGAATATTAGTTATTAAAATGCATTTTTATGATTGATTTTTATGATTGATTTTTATGATTTAGAAACATCTTCTTTGATCTTTTTTTTTTACTGTTAGCCTGATTGATCTGCCCCGGCAGTCTGTCATCGCACTCTCTGTCTCTCTAGGATATGATTTTAATTTTAGAAGCAGGTTGTTCAAAACACACTGCGGCGCACAGAGAGCAGCTTTCCACCCTCCTTAGGATTGTGTTACTCACCAGATGTTCTGTGGCAGGCCGTTTTAACATAAATTTGGTTTTCTATGGCAGGCCGTTTTAACATAAATCCGCTTTTACCGCCCTTACATTCCAGATTTCTCAAATTGTTTTATGATTAGACTTTTAAATAATTTAAGATATCTCTAATTATATTTTGTCTAGACAAAATATCTATTTGAGATATCTCTAATTATGTTGAAACGGTCTGCCATAGCTGTTCCTCATTTATCTGTTGTGAATAAGGACTGAGTGGTGCCATGTAAATGCCACCTTCCTCATTTTTATTCCACCTTCCTGTAGATTTGGTATCTGCTTTGGTTGTTACTGATGTTTCCTTCTCTTTCCCTCCTTTTTTTAGTGGATATTTGGTCTGTGGGTTGCATCATGGCTGAAATGATCAACGGAAAAACCCTCTTTAAAGGAAAAGACTGTATCCTTTAATGTTCGCCATCTTTTAATCTGTTTTTTATTATTATTTTATGACTGTGTGGTAATTAAAGAGGTTGATACAAGCAGGAACATGTCAATTTGATGACGACAGTAAATCAGGCAGTAAGTGGATCACAAGGTACTATTACCACAAACTACATATTTGAGCAACATGTTTCCTGACTTGTTTTTACTTTAGATTCATCTACTACTTCCTATGTACTTTACAGATTTATAGAGCCTGTTAGAAATTAAAATGGGCTCTTTCCTGTTTTTAATTAATATGTCATGTTTTTTTTGTTTTTGTTTTTTTCAAACCACATTCCCGGAGCTTGTTTTGCAGCCATCAGTGATTAGCACCAGGCTTTTTGACCGTAACCCCTTAATAACCAGACATGGACCAGCTATCCCAGATCATGAAAGTGTGTGGCGTGCCTGGACAAGAGTTTATACAGAAGCTTGAAAGTCCAGAGGTGAGACAAGTCTCAGTATGTTGACGTAGCTTATAAAAGCCAGTCATGATTTCAGTCAGAATTCTTTATTTCATTTTTTTTTCCTAATTAAAGCTGCCAAATTAATTGTTTTCATGTTGTCAAAAATAAAACGACCACCTGCTCTCAGCATGATCAGCAAGCATAGCTTAACAGATCTTGAGCATTTCATGCTAAGATGTCATTCTAAAAAAATAGTATATGTTAACCTTATATGTGTAGCTTTAACCTTGTCTGGATTAAAGAATATCCACAATAAATGTGTTTGTTTTGAATTTACTTGATTATGACCTTTTAACAGAAACATGTAGGAATTAAAGTGAAACATTAACATTCCTGTTACTTGACTTCTGTTGTTGATTTCTTCTCTGAAACAGGCCAGAAGTTACGTTAAGAGCCTCCCTCGCCACCCTAGAAAAGACTTCTCAACATTGTTTCCCAGAGCCAGTGAAACAGGTGAGTTCAAATTTATCATTGTCTGATACAGTTTATTTAATTATCTATTTTTAACTTCATATGAAGACTGTTCAAAGTGCTCATTTCAAACAGCAGACTCCAGTTTTTCATTTGGTTATTTTGGAAAGAAATTATGATTTTTGTTTCATTTTGGCTCTGAAATACGAGAACTTCCTCATCTTCTGTACTACACAACTGTAGTGGGCCTCATCTCAGGGGGGAACGAGTCTTCCCACAGGAATGAGGTGGAGCGACTGACAGCGTAGTGCACAGACAACAATTTAATCCTAAACACAGCCAAAACCAAGGAGATCATAGTGGATTTTATCAGAAAAGGAAAAATTCAACCACTATACATCTGTGGATACCGGGTGGAGAGGGCATCAAACTTCAGTTTCCTGGGAGATCATAACCTGACCTGGGACGTAAACACAGCAGAACTAGCAAAGAAAGCCCAGCAGAGACTATTTTCTGAGAAACTATATTTCTCAAAAACTGCTGGTGTCCTTCTATCGATGCTCTATTAAAAGCATCATCTGCTGTTGTCTCTGTGGTTCTCCAGCTGCACAGCAGCACAGAGGAAAACTCTCCAGAGACTCATACAATCTGCCCAGAGGACCATCAGCTGCTCTCTGCCTTCTCTTGAAGATCTCCAGATCCCACTGCCTCAGGAAACCAGGAACGTTTTAAAACACTTCTCTCAGCCTGATCACGATTTGCTCCAATTGCTGCCATCTGGCTGCAGAAACAGGAGCATTAAAGCAACGACAACCAGGCTGAAGAGCAGTTTATACCCAGTAGCCATATGGGGGTTAAATGGCTCCTAGTTCTATTTATCACGCAATTTCATTATAGTCCATGCTATTTTTATTACATGGTTTCTATAATGACAATAAAGATTATTGATTGATTGAACAGTAGTAGAGATGTTCCATTCTGTAACAGAACTGACATAGTTGCTTGTCTGTATTTTTGCGCAATAATTTAGATTAGTTGTATAGTGTGACCTTAACATTACACAGTTTAATCTTTGTATCAAACCCTTTGTCTTTGATGCATTTGATGATTTTTCAGTAGGATGGCTTTGACTTTGGTATTTTCCGGTGTTTTTTGTCCATGTCAGGTATCGACCTGCTTGAAAAGATGCTGGTTCTGGATGGAGATGAGAGGCCCACTGCTGAGCTCGCTCTGGAGCACCCGTACTTTGACATTCTGCGGGACCCGGAGGACTTTCCTGAGCCTACGCCGTACGACGACAGCCACGACAATGCAACCATGTCCCTAGATGAGTGGAGACGTAAGTGGACAAAATTAAAAATAAAACAAGCAAACACTGGTCTTTAAGAAATAAATATTATGAGATATGCTTAAAAAAATGAATATGCAGCAAACATCCTAATTTACTAAATTAAATTCAAGCTGGAGAGTCATGTTTTTAAATGTAGCAGCCAGAACAACTGCCAGCAGTAAACTTTTCACAAGCTGAGCTCAAGGTGAACCTACTTCAAGGTCTGTTTTTGAGAAAATTGGCAATTAAATAAATATACTTCAATTCATCCATGAATTTTTGCTTTCTGTTTTTTGTTTTCCGCATGCTGCCACAATAAAAGCTTTTTTAAAAAATGATGTTATGACAATTACGTGCCAATATGGATGCATTTAACATATTTTCTTCTGCAAACAAAAATCTGGTTGTGTAGAAGAAAACCAAACTGCCCTCCCTTTTCTCTCACAGGGTTATGCTACAAGGAGGTGAATAGCTTTGTGCCATTTCCACGGCGGGACTCCAAGAGAAAAAACACTCTTACTATGTCTCCGTGATGCGACGGACATGATGTAACTCCCCTACAAATACCACACACAGCCAATGGTGCCCTTGTATATTCCTGACTCAAAATCACACTATTTCTTTTATTTTGGAGGTTTTTAGATTCAGTGTTGACAGTGATCTATTTAAATAAATACTTCCCCAATTTCTTTTTGGAATGTGAACTTATTTCTTAAATGTAAATTGTTACATGTCCGTGAATCGTGTTGCAAGTTCATTGTTCAAATGCTGCAGGATTTCCTGTAAGATTTCATGTTTTCCGTTTCCCGTTTCCCAATTAAACAATAAGACAATATCTGTATATGTTTTTTTTTTCTTTTTTTTTTTTTCTTTTTGTTGCATTGTGGCATCCTTTATTACGACAATATGATGTAAATATTCAGGTACAAATCTTTTCTGAATATGCTTTTAACAAGCCAAGAATCAAAATGCTGGGCATTGAGGCTGCTGGATTTCTAGAAGGTAAACAGATACCATGTAAATGTACACTAAGCCACCAGTGCATACTGGAATTTGTCTAGAAGACACTGTGCCTAATAACTTTTTAACACTGTTTAAGGCCTTGGTTTTACAATAAAAAGCAATTAAATAATGTAAATTGTAAAATGCCCTTGCCTTTTTTCAGTCTTTTTTTTAGTCATTTTTAGCTTATTGCAATTACTTGCTTCTTTTTCTTTGTTGTTTAAAGTGTTTTTTGAACAATTAGACCAATGAAAATAAATCCATGAGAATGCATGTGAAACTTAAGTTTTAGTTGTGCAAGACATTGCAAGACTCAACTCCGATGTTTCAAAATTGACATTTAATTAAAGAACAGTAGGCTTGGGTCAGATACCAGTAATAAGGTTTAGTTCCAAAACAGCTAAACTTTCCTTCATAACATTCCTAGTTTTTCTATAAAGAAAACTATCCCAAAAAGGTGTATTTTGCTCAAGAAGCACTTTTCTACTAAATACAGCAGAAAGTATGTTTTTCTTTGAACTATCCTAATCACTTACTCAGACTTCATTTACATAGCACTTTTAAAACCAACATCGATGAAGTGCACTTGACAAATAAAACCAAAAAAGATGGCCACCCAACCGACTCGCTTAAAAGATAAAACCACGTCCATCAGAAATATGCACATGCATCATTATTTTAGACACTGTATGAAAATCACAGATTACCATACATGCTAACACACTTAAATGCAGTTATACCTTTTTTATCAATTAACAATAAGTTGCTGGAACTTTACCAAATGAAATAAAGTTAAAAATATATATGTATATATAATACATCTATTAAAAACTACAATAAAAACAGAAATTACCTAGAAATAATTAAGTCTTAGCTACAGATATAAATCAATATTTAGAAGAGAATAAAAACAAAATATGACATGTAATGTTCAGCATGTTACATTTTTCAAGCTCCTTTTTTTGTCAAGTAGATTATATATATGTTTTATTTTGCTTTGTAAATAGACCCGTACCTACATGTAATGTGATTTACACTCTCCCCTTTTCTAGTCCACTCTTTATTGTTGATGCACCTCAGTATAACAAAACGGGTACATTCAAATACAAAAATACTTTACTGATTCCAAAGGAAAATCAAATTAATAAAATTAAATTAAATTATCAAAAACATTGGACATCCTTGCTTCACTGGGGTTTTTTTTAAACTGTCTTTTGAGAATTTATATAATTTGATGTAACATTTAAGCAGATGTTTTGACATACATATCTGAATGTTTAAATTCATTCTTTGTTAATGTCTCAATTCTTTCATACTCCATAGATTGGGTGTATTCTCATTTACAGATTTTCAGCATCGTATATCCTTCGTGTGTTTTACTAAGATTATTAAGTCACATTGAGAAATCGACGACGGGAAGATCATCAGGAGTCGCACATCACATCAGACAAACGAGACGAGGTTTCTATTAAGAAGCTTGCCCGCGAAAATCGTGGCCTGGTGACGTAAAGGGGGAGGATTCTGAGCAGGCTAAACTTTTACCAACCAGCTGGTGTCAAATCCTTTAAGTTGCCATCGACCGGAAGCAAGACACTCTGCTTTCAAAATAAATTCATAGAAAGCCAGGTTTGCATGATTAAACGACTATTTCAAACTCAATTCATGAGTTGATTTTTTTTATTGGAACACAGACTGGCATATAGGGCCATGAAATTTGACCTTTTATGAAGTAAGTAAAAAAAAAAACATTTACTGCAAGAGTGAATGAGTTTTATAGTGTAAATATGTGATTTTTTTTTCCATATTATCATATCTGTGTTTTGCCATATTAAGAATTTACTTTTGTTAATGTGATAAACCACTGCTTTCAATTATTACACTTAAAAAAATAAGAAAACAAATGTTCTTGTTTCTAATTAGAATAACTTGCTAAAACAAGAAGAAAAGATAAATGTAGTGCAAAACTGTAGCGGTAAGTATGGGTGTGACAGATCCATATGGAGGTCTGACAAAAATTATAACATGTTATCATTTGACTCCTCTTCATGAAAAAACAAGTAGTTGCAAACTAAATTCTGACTTAAGTTTATGTATTATTATTATTATTATTATTATTATTATTATTTTATTTTTATTTTATTTTTATTTATTTATTGCTATTTTCAAAAAAAATTAAAAGATTCGCTCTCGTTTTTATGTGTAGTTTTAAATATAATACACATAGGCATGTTTATATTAAGTTATATTATTGTGAAATCTATACCAGGAAGTCAAGTACGGTGACTAGCTTGTCATCTTAGCTTTTACAGTAAAGCTGGACTCTAAACAGCTAGCAAACTAGCCGAAAGAAGCTAGCATTCCTCCTCATAATATTTGATCAACAACAAGATGCCCCTGTATTTATTGGTATTGATATATCCCTACTATTTTCATTATGGCTTTGGGGTTAACTGTTTTTATTTTTAAGGGCAGTTTAGAGGAAACATGGAATGCTATAAGAAGGTGAAATATACCGGCTGTGGTAGCAAACTGTGACAGGCTATTAGCTGTTAGCTTAGGAAGTGTAGCAAAGCCCACCGCCGAACTGAGCGACCATTACTGGAAAAACGGCTTCAAACCGCCGGTTATTGATCTACCCTGTTCACTCTGCTGGCATTTTAGGTAAGACTTACCAAACTTACTCTCTTTTTGTATTTTTTAATTTGTTTACTGCTTTTAGAACTTTTATTTCTGTTTTATTTAGAAAACCTCAAAATAAAACCGGCTACCGTCTTTAAAAAGTTAGCAGGCTAGCTCTGTCCTGTATATTTTGACTTGACAATCCTGTATGACACTGCCAGTCAGCAGATGACCGTGCCATTTTGTACCGACTTCACATGTTAAACCCTTTATTTAGTTCACTGAACTAATGTCGATATGTTAAACACTTAGAAGCTTTTGACAGCATTTTAAGATAGTAAATATGGCTGACATTTTACTGCTGGAACGGAGGGTTCCGATGTGTTCAGGTTAAGATATTCTTGAAGCTGATTGGCTCTTGTACAGATCAGTCAAGCTTTCTTGAAAGCCGATTGGCTATGACCGTTGTTTTGTGGAATAGGTAAATTCAACGAAGTGTTTATGAGATAAAGTCGAGAAAAACCACTGCTCACTTAACCTTGTTAGTGTCTAGTGTTTGGAGAGAAGGTTTGTCTAAAGACTTTTCATTTAACTAGCTGTCAACTGAATGGTTTATCTCTTTGAATAGTTTTCACGGAAATACATTTTATCAAGTGAAAGAACTTCTGTGTTACATCTATGATTTACAATGTTGAATTATAATTACTAGACAGTTAATTTCAGTTAAAATTTCTCATTTTTTTAAACTTTAACTGCCGTGTTTCTGGCAGAAAAATTGCTTTTTTTTTTTTGGACAACTGTGCCTTTGGTTTTGGATGCTGTGGAGTTGGATTGATTATACTTTTTATACTTATTTGTTATGATGCGTAACCTTAGCAACAAGGTGGTTTACAACAGGGAGCAGCTGATTAACACTGCAAAGCAGAAATAATACCACACATGAAGCCAGAAGTCTCAGAGGATTTGAAAACGAGGCATTGTAGATGCAGAGCAGTATCAAAAAGGAGCGAGAGAAGGAAGAAGTTAAAACCATGTCTTCCATCAATCACAATGCCTAGCCAACAATTTGGATGAACAAGGACTCAGCTAGAGTATAGGAATGCAGTATTATACGCTTTAAAGAAACATGGCTGCAGAATCATATCCCCAACTCCAACGACTCTGCCAGGCCTCCTGATTAGATGAGCAGACAGAGATTTAAAGAGCAGAGGGAGAGTAGAGTAAAGGAGGTAGATTAGCAGTGCTTGTCGCCAGTAGATGTCATCCAGGACTTGTTACTGTGAATGTTGTTTCTGCAATCCTGAGCATTACTGTTTCCACCTTCAGCTGTTGTCAACAATGCGTGTGATATCATCAGACCTGTTGAAGCTAAGACAGAGATGCAACACCCCAATGCATTTGTGGCAGTATCTGGTGATTTTAATCGTGCCTCACTTTGCTAAACTACCAACGTTTAAGCAGTTTGTCAGCTGCTCTTCCAGAGAAACAAAACATTGCGTTTGTTTTACAAAAATATCAATAATTCATATATCTCCAAACCAAAATTTCCTCTGGGAAAGTCGGATCACAGCCTCGTTTTTCTGTGCACTGACTAGAAACCCCTTGTTCAGAGACTATCTGTAAAGAAAAGGACTGTGAGAAAGTGATCAAAGGAAGCCAAAGAAACTATACAGGGTTATTCTGAGGCACGGATTGGATTGTTCTTTGCCAGCCACATGGAGAGGACATCAGTGCCAGTGTTTTAGTATTTTCTCCACTGTTTATTCAATGAGAACATCATAAATGATCATCCATCCATTTTCTTTACGCCCTTGTCCCTAATGGGGTGAGGAGGGGTTGCTGGTGCCCATCTCCAGCGAGACATTTCAGGCAAGAGGCAGGGTACACCCTGGACATTTAAAAATATGATTAAATGCAATTATTGTTTACAGTTTAGTGATACAGATTTGTGTGGTTGGTGTCCTACAGAAGCATATTACAAATGGTTTGCTTTTTAAGAGTAGTATTTGTGTTTGTGGGGCTATAAATGATGTAACACAGTCGTAGCGATACAGCTTCCTAAGAAAAAAAAATAATTTATTGTCACTTTTATCGTTATCATAATAGTAGCACAAAATATTGTGATAAAACCTTAATACCCCTCCTACTTGGTGGTATATTTAACATTTTCTACAAAATAAAATACACTACTGTCCCCTAAATTTCTTTGTCCTTGATTTACAGGAGTGAAAGTTTGAGCAGTGGCCTATGAGGAAGCCACGTCGAACTTGCCAGGTGGGTGGAGGAGGTGGAGTAAATGGCAAGAAGTCCAATGGGACAGTTGGCGGACGTGGGGGCAGCCGCCAGCGATCTCCATCCCCGTACAGCCTCAAAGCATCTCCAAGTAGAGAGACTCTCTCCTATTCTCAGGCTCAGAAGGTGGTGGAGGTCGAACTGGATGGAAGACTTCACCGCATTTCTGTCCTGGAACCCTTGGAAGTCATCACGGACGATGAGACAGTGGCTCAGGACATCAGC